TGAACACCTCTTGCAATAACAAAAAGCTTTTCTCGACCTCACAAAGCCCATCGTCCTGTCGAAACGCTTAAAAATGAAGACTCAACAGAGAGACTGAGAGAAAAACCTCTCCCTTTCCATTCCCTCACACGCTCATCCACGCTTCCTGCACGCCAGTCCACCAGCTGATGGACAAGGAAATGAACACGGGCAGAAGTCGGGTCGCCGTGTGATCTCTGCGTCCGGCCGGTGTTCAGTCGCCGCGCGAGGCGGCCGCGGCGCCGTGGGGCTTGCGGCTGCTCGGGGCTGCCGGAGGACGCGCCGGCGGGGTGGCGTCCGCTGCCCGGGTCGCCTGCTCTTGGGGTGGAGAGGGGGGGGCTTGCTTCAGTGGCTTGTTTTAGGCTGTATGTTTATGTTGCTTCACTCGCAATGTCGATTTTTGTGTATAATATTATAATATATATAATATATATATATATATATATATATATATATATATATATATATATATATATATATATATATATATATATATATATATATATATATATATATATATATATATATATTATATATGTATATATATATATATATATATATATATATACATATATATATATATATATATATATATATATACGCATATATACATATGATTATATATACATAGTGTGTGTGTGTGTGTATACATATTAAAACGTATATTATATATGTATATATGATATATTATTTTTTTCTCTTTTTTTATTTGTTTTAAATTTTCCATTTCTTTATTTTTAGTTTCAGCTCCGTGCGTTTTGCAAATCCCGGAGACAATTTGCGAACACGAAGAATTTCTCAATCAAATGCGACCTCAAACATGACCCGAAGTAGATTTGATTAATTAAGAAGAGAAACCTTGTCTTGCGTGTCGAATCCATAAAGGACGATCGCTTTTCCAAAAGAGGATTCGGTCCACGCATACCGATCCGCTCGTACATTTTCCGAAATAAGCGCGAACTCTTACTGGTCCCAACAAGGCCAGGTCGCGGAGGGACGACATCTCAAGGAGAGTGGTCCTTGCTGGCCAAAACTCGAAGTAAATTGCTGACAAAAGAAACCGATTTCCACTGGGATGGACATGACACCCACAACAACAGAATTATTCATAAACCTTAAGTAAAAGTTCTCAAAGGCGGGCAGAACAGAAGCATGCGTGGAGCTTTCCATTTTGAGAATAAAGCAAAGAAGTAGAGAGAGAGAGAGATAGATAGAGAGAGAGAGAGAAACAGACAGAGAAAAAGAAAGAGACAACGAGAGAGAGAGAGAGAGAAAGAGAGGGAAGGGAGAGGGAGGGAGGGAAAGAATACGAGAGAGAGAGGGAAAGAGAGAAAGAGTACAAGAGAGAGAGGACTGGGTAAACAACGTGATAAAACGTCTTACCGCGGAGTTATATCAGTTCATGTCGAGTGCCAGCACGTGCTTGAACCTTAAAACATCCTTTGTGCTCCTGTCATTTTTTCGTTCCTTGCCTCTAACATATACTTCAATTTGTGTTCTGTTTTCTTTTCTGAATCTGCGAAATTTCACATTTCTGTCCGTCAGAGGAGCAAAGGGATGTTCATTTACTTATCAAAACTAATATAATAATAATAATAAATAACAATAATAATAATAATAACACTACTACTACTACTACTACTACTACTACTAATAATAATAATAATAATAATAATAAATAATAATAAAATCATTAAAAAAAAAAAAAAACATTTACACGCGATGCCCTTCCGTCCCCCGCCCGCGGCCCGTGACCCACTGGCAGACGCCCCTCGCCTTCCCGGGGTCGGTTCTCGGGCGCGGGAGACGTGCCGCGCCTCGGGGATCGCGTGGACTCCCTCGCCTTCAGCCCGTGAGGATCGCCGCGACGCCCCGGCACCCAAGCACCCCAGACGCGGGCGGGAGGGGCGTGATCGCGGAAAGATCAGGGGAATGAGGGTCGCTCGGGGGAATCGCGGCGGACGAATGGAGGCGCGGGGGGGGGTTCTCGGAGAGGAAGGGCGATGGGTGGGCGGGGACTGGGGTGAGGTGCATGCTTTGGGATTGTGATTAAAAAGCACCCAGAGGAGAAATTTCTACGAGAATGTATATTCACACACATACGCTCGCACACACAAACACACATATATATATATGTGTGTGTGTGTGGTGTGTGTGTGTATGTGTGATATGTGTATGTGTGTATGTGTGTAGTGTGTGTGTGTGTGTGTGTGTGTGTGTGTGTGGAGAAAGAGAAAGCCATTTCGAAATATATGCCTATCACAAAATCTGAAAAGAATATAAATCACCAATAGCAAACCCATTTTATGACATTTTTTAAAACAATCCCATAGTTTCACCCTACATACGGAATCCAGTCTAAAACACTAACAAAATTAGTTCAAAAACTCCTGTAGCCTTGGTCAACTCACTCATAAGATTTCACGACACTGTAACAGAAACTATTTGATAACATCCTTCTGCCAAACCAATAAACGTTCCCCTCCCCTCCTCCCCTCCCCCCCTCCATTAAAAAAGTCCTGGCATAGATAATGATAAATGAATAAATACATATAACACGTGATATGTTTACTAAAATATCCAATAACCGCGAGTGATGTCACACGTCTAACAGTTTCATGAGTGAGTTACTTTCATCTCTTAAGTTGGAATACGTCTTGACAATCCTCTTCTGCCAGCTTGCACAAGGCAGGGTTGGCAGACATCGCCCTGACACCCACCAGACTGCTGCAATTACCAACACAATGAATCCCTGGAAGAATAATGTTCTGCTCAATTAAATCATCTTGACAGTGCAGTATAAATGTAAAAAAAAAAGAAGATAAAAACCTACATTTTTTTCTCTCCCTACGTTGTTACACTTTTTTTTTATAATCTTAAATATTATTACTATTTTTTCTTTTTTTGGTGGCTGACTGATGTAGTATGCAATTAAGTGTGTCTGCGTGTGTATGGTTATCATGTATGTGTAATTTGTTTATGACTACGCGCGTGCACATGCCTTTTCATGACTGTTGATAGCGGGTTGCATGCATTCCCCCATTGCCACCTGACTCAGCGAAATTTGCAATATGGCTTCTGTTTGCAACTGGGGATGTGATTACTTTCTGGTTGTGTTTGTATGTTACTCTGCACAAGCGACCGAGGCTGCAAGGCGACGGACTTCCACTGAATATTTTGGTTTCATATGATCGTATATGATGATGCCTTTGTGAGAAATGTCTTATTTTTTTCAGATACATAGACAATATATATATATATATATATATATATATATATATATATATATATATATATATATATATATATATATATATATATATATATACATATAATACATACACACACACACACACACACACACACACACACACACACCACACACACACACACACACACACACACACACACACACACACACACACACACACACACATCTATATATGTGTGTGTGTGTGTTTACATATACATATAGATATGCATACACACGCACACAAAACACACATACATACACACACACATACACTCTTATATATATAATATATATATATATATATATATATATATATATATATATATATATATATATATATATATATATATATATATATATATATACAAACAGACAGAGAGGCCTTCACCGCGTTTACAGCAACAGTCACTCGAAGAC